CTTGAAAGTTGAAACGTAAGTAGTATCCTCAATACATTAAAATTGACAGTTTGTACAATTTCCTTATACCAGGCAGTTGATTGGTAACAAATGAATCGGAAACCTATGGACAATCCTCCGGTGGATATAATAAAAACGTTTTTTTTTTACGTGAACTAATTTTAATCAGAATAAACGAATATGCGGTTATGATTATTGATTATAATATGATTATTAGTGGGTAAGACACCCTAAAATAACTGGTTCAATCTATCATCTAAACCTTCCTTAAATCGTTAAGATCGGTTGACTATTTTTGTTATACTATATGATTCTGCAGACTGCAATACACTTTAGTTTTTTTTATAAAATATAGCTATTATCCGTGGCTTCTATTCTAATATTCTTACAACCCAAATAACATGTTCGTACAACTTGGGGAAAAATGTTGGTAAAATAATATTAACTATATTTACTAAAAATAAGTACCACATCCGTTTTTACAACTATTTTCTATTATGGTTAAACTATTTTTAAGAACTATTATCTTTAATATAAACATTTTAAGAACTGAAAACTACCTACTCTTTCGAATTTTGAATTAGGTACATCAAGTGTGTAATTATTGTGCGGTATTACCACTTGCACACCTTTTTACGTTTATTTGTTTACAACTACTATTTGTTAAAAAATGCAGTTATATTAAGATATTTTAAAAATTAATAGGACCTAATTAAATATAATTATCCATTAAACTCATATGTGTAATACAAGCGACACAACCCACATTTTCATTGGTATTATTATTTTGTCAAACAAAGTGATTTTTATGGGATAGGTGGCTCAGTGTGTTTTTAATCAAAATATTTCATCATTATTAACAATTATTGACTTAGGTAGGTACGACATATCGTTAATCAATAAATTGTTAATGACGACGAAATATTTTGATATAATATCTACTTACACACTAAGCCACTTAACCTATATGAGTCACATTGTTTGACTAAATTCTTGTGATGTAGTTATATACGGCTATAATAATTATCCTAAGGCGCCAAAAAGCCGAGTAGTCTTATAAGCCATCATGGTTTCAGTTAAAGCGATATATTCGTAGCACTAGGCTCTTAAAAAAAAAATACAGTGTTGTCAATGATTAATGATTATATTATGTTTTAGCTACGTAGCCTGTGAACATTTGAAACTGCATACCTATTACATACCTAAAATACCACACACATAAATTGTTTTTTAATTTGAAACGTTTCTTTGTTATAAAGAAAAACATCAGTGCCTTCGTATCGGGCGGTAAATTCCATCATACAATAATATATAGATAGTATTCCTATTGATATTTTAGAAAGTCTACTTGCTGCGTATAGTGACAGCCGACAGTCGGTTCAATACAATATTACATATTTTGTAGTGTATGATGACACTCGGCCATAAATCAATATGTTTTCTATATTATATTACACATAAAACCAGATACCATAATAATATTAGGTCAGTCAATAGGGGCTTTTGCCTTGCAAAAAATACTTAAGTTTTGAAACTTGGCTTTAAGTTTCGTCTTGGGGCACCGATTGACCAAAAAAAATGTGCCATCCTAGATTTAAGGGGAAATTTTTCACTTTTTTACGGTCTTTTTACAATATCTCTATAACTATTAACTACTATAAAAATAACTTACATGAAAATTGAAGACCATAAAATTTGTGACAAGTAAGGTTCTATACATTTTTAGCTAAAGAGTAATAAGATAAGTGACAAAGTCCATCCATCATCCAAAGTCCGTCATAGAGATAGAATGGGATGCTATAATGCCGTATATATACGTATGTACGTAGTTTGCAAACAGATCGAACGTAGAATAGGTATATAATATATGTTTAGTTTCGTGTTGTTATACTGTAAATAGTATTGCTGAAATATTTTATTATTAATAACTTACCTCATTTGGTATTTTTATAAAGCACATATGGATACCTATGTGCTGATTTCACGATGTATGATAGTGCAAAGAGTAGGTGTAGGACTTCCGACACTAAGACTCCGATGTTTGTTAATATTTAACCAAAGAAATGCACCATAAATAAAAAACAAATTTATTTTTCATTTTTACTTAGGTATATGTAGTTTGTGAGCAAACAGAGGAAGAAAAAATACGAATTTGTTTGATCTTTGAAGTATTCATCGGATTCCAACGTTCTTCGGCTATATATTATAGGTAGGTACCTATATAATATAATTGGTATTCTATAAAAATGGGAAAAATGTCCCTGGTAAACAAGTCCCGAAAAAATATCCGAAACCAAGAATGTCCGAGGTGAAATTTTCTAACAGCTATTCTTTTTTTAATAAAAAGACGTATGTAAATATGTTTAATATGATTTTAGAAAAATGTGCAAGTATAAATTTAAATTCGCAGTGTCCTAGTATTTTAAATATTGACTTTGAAAAATCTGTTATTAATGATGCTACAAATTGTTTAGTACACCATAATATTAAATAACATAAAAACCCAATCATAGATCATGAGAAGCAATATAGGGAATACTAATTTTTTAGTACATTTTGTCGAATGCTAGATGTGTTGGCATGTTTACCAATAAATTACGAGGCAAGAGGCTTAATTAATTTAAAATAAAGCCCACGAGAAGTTAATATGAGTTGATTGAGTATTTCGGTTTAACAAATAATTAATATATTATTTTTTTATTAGGTTTAACTATATAAAGGGAAGAATAATATAATAATAATAATAATAATAAGTAATCAGTTCCGACACATAAAAAGTCTAAGGTGAAAAATTCCGTCACATATAATTTGATAGCTAAAAGGAAAAATACGATATTATAAGATAGAATCGGTCTATTCTTAAACTGTGATTACCACCATGAACTATGATTAATATATTAATTAATTAATTAATCAAATTTCATTTTAATAATTACAAATTTCGTTTATAATAATAGTGTATTAAATACACAGAGTAATATATTAAATGAGTAGTTATCAACAGTTTTGTTTTACTCAATTATAATTCACAACATTTTAATTTTTAACGATTCCTAGGTACCTAGTTACGAGGAAGTTACTGGCGACTTGTTCAGCGATCATTACGATTTCGCAACATTTTATTAATATTGATGATTTAATTTTACAAAAAAAAAAAGGAGTAATAGGGATAATGGGATATTGTTGTTATTTAAACGGAAAAACAATGGCTAATAAATTTAATTAGAAAAAAAAACATCACAACAAAAATCCAACGTACCTATATACGGTATATTCGTGTCATTACAAGACCCTGGAACATTTTGCTTAGAACAACAAATTAAAAATTATAACATTACCTAAATTAATATGTACTGGTCAAGTCGGAAAAGTATGGCCCATCATTTCCTGTAAAGTGATGTTCATATTTCAAAATACGTTTACAAAAATATCTTAGTTAGTTGCCTTGTAAATTACAATTAATAAAACGTTATTCGACAAAACAATTTTAAAAGTCATGAAAATAATTAATAAAGAAATAACACAAGGAGACGGTTATTTGCATTATATTTCTATTTTAATTTTGGTTTCTATTATATTAGTATAGAAAGGTACATTTTAGATATAATTATGTAGTAATTATTAGTAGGTATAATATATAACTGCATGATTGTTTAGAATACAAGGATATCGCATTTATTGCATTATAATAATATTTTTGTTGTTTTAAAATTGTATAGATAACAAAGACTTAATTTAATTGTTCATGATATACTTAAAATATTTTTTTCTTATTTCAATTCAAATATAGCATATTATTATGGTTGATATTGAGTATCAGTATTTTAAAAAAGTATTCAACTACAGATACAGATGATACCTATTTTCAAAAGTACCTATTTAAAATACGTATCTGAATACTTGGAAAAAAAAGTATTTGTGTACTAGGGGAAGATGGGGGAATGGCGGCAACCTAAGCGGGAGCACGTGTATCTCCGGTAATAAAAATCCAACTATTTTACTGTCAATTACATTAGAACTATAAAGTTGTTAGCTACTAGTTACTACGTATACAAGTTTCAAATTTTTAATGTTAAGTGTAATATTTTTTATTTTCATTTTTTTTAAAAACGTAAATGACCGGTATTACCCTTATAGTGGGGTAATACCAGTCACATAAAAATTCATGTAAAAGTATAGGACAAAATATAAATTTCTAAAAATCATACAAATAATGAGCAAATTAACATGTTGTCAGTACAGAGATATTTATCAATATTAAGAATTACTTAAGTGTATTAGATATGTTTGTTTTTTGTATTTATAAATGTGAAAAATATAACCAAATATAACTAACTTAGATACTAAAAAGGGACCGCTATTACCCCATCACACTTGGCCGATAATACCCATTTCACAGTTTTTTTTTGAAATACATGCATTTACTTAAAAATTATACTATGTAAGTGAATTATGAGCACATAATTGCAATCCTCATAATATTTAGATGTAAATATAACCGTTGATGTAGAAAAAATATTAAAACACTTAACTTCAGACGATTGTCAATTTTCAAAAATATTAGAACGAAAGTGATAATGAAATTGATAACAAATTTTGAAAAATGTTGTTTATCATTTTGAGACGTCAGATATTAGGTTTTGATAACAACACTTATTAAATAACGTGAAAATCTAAATTTTAGCTATCATATTTCATGAGATATGCCACTGACCGGTATTACCCACTGACCGGTATTACCCACTGACCGCCATTCTCCCATCAACCCCTACTTCTTATAGGTACAGTACGTCGGTAACGTACTACTTCAGCATTACCTAAAAAACGCCACTGGAGGCGCTAGAATCATCCGCCCGCTCTCGTGATGCGTATTGTATGGTTCTACACAACACTACAACAGCTGTCTGCCGTCTGCCGTCACCACTGAGGTGGCTTGTAAAAGGAACTAGTGGCATTTCTGTCTTCTGAGTTTCGAGTTCTGACCATCATTGTGCAACGCCATGGCGTCATCCACGATAATAATTTTGATTTCGATCGTCTCGATCGCGTCTATCACCGCGGAGGCAGTCAATATTGACTCCGCCGATACGGATTGGATTAATAGTGAGTATCTGCATTATTTTTGAATTTCGTATTTGTATACGGGTAAATAATTTTATGTATTCATTGTTTTTCTTAAAATTGCATATTTGTCTTTTGTTTTAAAATATCAATGAATAGTTTTAAAGATATTACCCTTAAAAAATAGTTACCACCAGTGCTGGTATATTGAATAAATTTAAATGAAAAAAAAATTGCTCAAAACAAAACCACTTAAACTTACCAAAATAATTCTTAATAATTATTTTTAATAATCATTTTTAAAATAATGTGTCACGCGTGAACGTGGACTATTTATTTCTCCCGGCAATTTTCGAAAATGTCTTGTTATTGTTGTATAAAAATATATAACTACCTAAAAAGTAAAAAAAAAAAATTCACGGCCTGTTTACAATACGTCATGTATTTCTTAAAAATTCTGGTATATTTTATGTAATTTAAACACTTTATTTTTTATTTGTAATTATTTAAATTTAATCCATGCCATTATGATTTCAGCCCACGTTGACAAATTTCCAGAAACAACAGGTCGCCGGAATTTGCAAACAAGGATCGTTCCTAAATACTATGGCCTCGACGTGTGGCATATGTTGGATTTAAGGCCTAAACTTCAACCGCTGAACACGTTATCGAAGCCTACTAAAGCCGAGCGCATTGAAAGTCAGCATGATGCAGGTTGGAGGTAAATATATTTTTGTTTACATGGTATTAAGGAATTAACAATGCGAGCAATATCTGCCATGGTCACTACACTCTTCTTTATAGCCATTTCTTTATAACACATAACACATTATTTAGATTCGGTGATGCTTAGCAGTCCACATAATATTATAATTTTGTTATTTGAGGCACAATAAGTTATTTAGCTTACTACGCAGGGCGTGCTTATCAGTGGTGCAAGTGGTGCAACTAGGGCTTAAATGTTGGGGAGGGGAGGGCTATTGTCAGTTTACAATTTTCTTCATTTTATTTCTATAAAATATATCAATAAAATGTTATTTATTGGGTAAAAAAGGGTGAACATTTAATACAAGGCTCTTGATATATTGTAACAATAAGAGTTGAAAAATATTAAAAATACATAAGCACAATTTTTTTTTATAAGCATTTAAAGTTCGAATTTTGACAAAATTTATCATATTGAAAATGAAATAATTATTTTGTAGTTAAAAATTTATAAGATGTTCAACCTTTATAGCTAAGGATTGAAAATTTAAAACAAGGTTCTACGTAAATAGGTAAATAGTTATAATAATTATAATAATAGTGATAGAAAAATCAAATTTTATTTGGATTCTTGCGAAAGTCCAAACACTTCACATAGTCATACTGTGTAATTATTTTTAAGTTATAATCCGATATTTTGTTATTGATATAGTTTCTCCCCTATTATTTGGGTTAGTAGTAGTTCTGATACAAATCTTACTACAAACGTTTGTGAAAGTACAAATAATATGTGGACCTACACATTGTATTATTAATTTTTATTATATATTTTGACCAACTACGGTTGTCAGTCCTAAGTGGCTAAGTCTGAATACATTTTCATGTAGGAACTTACGTACGGGTGTATTTTTTTCCGTGAGGGAACTTACATATGTACCCACTCACCTGCTTTGTTTCGTGTGGGAACTTACTAAACCCCTTGGTTATATCTTTACACATCATAGGATAATAGGTCACACGGTCACATTGAAAAATATTAAATGCGTTCCTCTTTCCAGTAACTATGTAATAAAATATATATTTTGTTTTTTTACATATAAAGAAGTCGACGACAAATCGACGGCAAAACATTAGGCGAAGATGGCGGATCCAGCTCACTCTCGTCCCTCGCCAGCTCTAGTTCGCCGTCAAATGTAAACGGTGAGCACGTATACCCCGTCAGTGTAGAAAATTGGATACTCCAACAACTGAAAATCGAGGAAATGAATCGGATCCTGGAACCCACTTTGGGAAACAGACGTCGACGCTTGGCATCCGGTGAAGAAATATCATCAGACAACAATACTACAGCGGACCCGACGGTCCCTATTGATGCGCATAAAATGATTGAAGTTAAATGCTTATTAACTCTTTCGCTCCCTGTATCCCTTCCAACAGAGTGTATACAATTTTATTTTAGATCTTTATTTAAAACTATTCACTGAAATTAATTATACAATTTTATATGTAAATGGTCAAGCTGGGTAATTATTTTGATCTACCATATATATTATTGTTTTTTTTTTATTATTATTTTTGCTCATACCTTACAGTTATAAATTACATATTATTACATGAATATTATAGAAAAGAAAACCACAAACATATTATCCACTAGAAAAAATATATATAAATATATAATACATTATATACATATTACCTTCATAGCATATTATAATTATAATATTATTCTAATAAATATTGGTGTATTTTTTTTTCTCCTGGTATTATAATGGTATAAATGTAAAAATGCATCGTTTTACTGTTTTCTTAATGTTGAAATTTAAAGCTTGAGTAAGTAGTTGCAAAAGTTGATGGTATGGTGTGTGACGGTATAATAGCAACCAATTGAAAGTCAGTACTTGGAGACTGTTGTCAAATAAATAATGTGAAAAATTAATTTTTACATCCGTCTGATAACAAACAAAAAGTTGAGTTTAAAATTACCTAATCATTTAAAAAGTAAATTTGATTGTTTATAGACGAAGACCGTTTTGAAGTAGATGAAATTTTCTATATAACTTTTATATAGATTCAACAAGAGACTCAAGTCTCAAATACATATTATTTAATATTTACCGTAATTGTGGAAGAATAGAAACAGTTTTACACATTTAAGTTGTTTAAAATCTCTGGATCTCAAATATAATCAACGCTTTAAGTACATTACAGTTTGGGTTTTACTGAGTAGGAACCTACAACAAGATGTTTCAATGATTACTTAAGTATAACATTTTATATTATATTATATTTTAGACCTAACTTGAGGGTGAAAAAAAATGTTTATATTTCATAGAATTTGTTATTCAACTCTAATTAGATTAAAAATTTGATTTGTTTTTTTTTAAAAAACTATTTAATTTACTTAATGATACTCTTTATTTAATCTTATTTTTGAAAAACAAAATTTTAAACAATTTTATAATAATATTAGTATTATACATATTTTATTTTTAACAAATAGCATAATTTATTCAGCTTTTTAATGAATAAAATAGTATTCATGTTTCCTATATTAACTTAAATTATAAGACCTTCGAATACTTAGGACATAAAAATGCAAAACATATTATACAAAATCTATACAAGCAGTTACAGTATATTTTTTTAATAGTTACTGAAATATAAAATATATGAAATGTACATATTATAATAGGTATTTGAATATAATTATATAGGTACATTACTGTCTATTCTTCCGTGTAGAAATTATTTACTATTCCCCGTTAGACTTAGTTCCAAAATTTACAAAATGCTTTCCATATTTATCGTAAACAAAAAAGTTAATAAACATTCGAGGGCAAAGTTGAAATAAGTTAACATTTTTCGAGGATTGTATAGTGTACACAGGGACCAATTAGATTTGGGCACTGTAGGTTGAGTATTGAATACCTGTACTGAAAATCAATTAAAATTTTACTGAGTGCCTACTTAAATAATTATAAAAAACTTGAAATTGATGCTTCAAATATTAGTTGCCTGTTAATAGTTTTTAAGTCTATTATCCAGTATGATACCTCCTACTAAAAAATTAATATTTTTGAATTGCAAAATAAAAAATTCTTAAAAATAAAATTACATAATTAAAATTATAGATATTTAAATTACACCGACATGGAACATGGGGGTGCTTAAATTTAAGTGAGAGAAGTGCTGAAGCCGGCCCTAGAACCCCCGTATTTGGCCATTGTAGCATGGGGCCGATATTATTCGACTTGCAATAGGTAAATTATTATATTGAATAATAACTTAGCTGGTTAAAGTTTTTATAATTTCATTATTAATGTTAGGAAAACCTTACAAAAAGGCACATAGAAGCGAGGAATAAAGACTGCAAGAATATATAGGAACACCACACAAGAAAATCACTATAGACTAAATACCAATAAATATTTGATCCATATGCTTCTATAGTCTCATCCTATCCTTACATCTCTTCGATTAGAAATTTACGTGAAAAAGATATAGTACATTTTTCGGAAGATGTAAAATCTCTATTAGTATTACCTCAGCCCTACCAAAGGTTATAATCCGATTAGATAAACCAATAGTTTTCAAATACCTATGGAATTAACTATTAAGCGACTAAAGAATAAACAGAATCCTGGTTTAAAGTTAGTAAATTACTAATGTTGTTACAGCATGTTTTTGTTTTAAGTAAATAATTTCCATATACTCTATATCTACAACTAGATGCAAACCAAAATAATATTTTTGAATAGCTGAGAACTTTTTTTACGTGCTATGTGTATTGAATATATGGTAAAGTTGAGTAATTTTTAAAAACAGTCTGTCAAAGTAAAAAACAAAAAAAAATTAAACATTTCTTTTAGGTACTTGAAAAAAAAAATTAAAAAGAAATAAAAATTTGTACCTATATTTATTAATTATTTTAAGGTACCTATTTAAACTTCAAATTAATTGTAATAAAAAAAATATATAATTCATCTGAGAAAAATGTTCAAGAAAAGAAGTAAATATTTCGATAAAATAACGAATTTACTGTAAAAACAATGTACGGAAAACGCTGTAAGTCACGTTAACTTGATATTATAGGAACTTCGAGTTTTAACCAGCCCATAATAAAACTGAAAAAAACTGCTTGCTAACAATTATAAATTACATTACCTTACAATTTATCTCAATACAAATATCCTTCTTATATAATTTTATAGTTACTTTTTAGCAGTGTTGGGAACGTACACTAAAAAAATGAACTCATTCACGTTCACGTTCTTTTAAAAAACGAACGCGTTTATTAGGTCGTTCATTTAATTTTTTTTTTTTATGAATCGTTAGCCTGCAGTCGATATAAAAATTAAAAACCCATAAACATATACCACTCAACCAAAAATTAAAAATTCAATTTAGACTTTAAAGCATATACAATTTATAATGTATCTGAATTAATTTTTAATATCTGACACGTTATTTGAGTAAAATGTTGATAAGAATTTCCTAGTGATAAAATTAAGAGAATACTAGGGTACTTATTACAAATTCGTGGAAATCATAATATTATTGTTACCGTGCCGGGGACACAGGAATTTCACGTATTTAATTTATATATATTGCTATCAAACAAATATTGTAGGAAATATAATGGGAAAAATAAAAATATTATTTTTATAATATAGTTAATTAATATATTTTATACATGTAATATTTATTAAATGGTAAATAAATAGAATCATCAATAAAAATCGATCAAATTCATTAAGATATAATCGTCGTTCACTTTCACGGTCTATTTACAAAAAACGTGTATATGTAATGTATATAATAATGTAATAACAGTGTAACAGGCGCGTAAGCGCTTTTGTCATGGCCAGTAAAAAAGATAAACATAGAGTGTGGGTGTGTGTGTGTGTGTGTGTGTGTGTGTGAGAGAGAGTCAAAAGACGAGGTTCGAAATGTCTTACAATAATAATATTAGGTAGGTATCCATTATATTGTAAGATATTCTCCATAAGTATAAAATATATTAGAACCTGCAGCTGTCTATGCTGGCCACAACTCACAAGGGTGGACGCGGAGTTCAGGGGGAAAATTCTTATATGTATAAAATACGTATATATCCAAGGTCAGTGCGCAGTCTTTATATTTTATATTATTATTATTATTTACATCGGAATGCTCGACACACGAATTATAGGAGGGTAGAATACGATGCGCGCGTTAAATACAGTCGCACGAATGTACAATGTTGCCAAATTCAATAACAAGGCAAAATAAAATCTAAGATCTAAGATAAATTGTGTTTTGTAGTAATTTTGAATTTCCTTTTCCTACCTATGCATACTGCATAGCACCAATGTGCACTCGCACGTAAGTATAGTCGAGATACTTATTAATATCACTATTATATTATATTAATTATTATAAGAAACGACTATTAGAAAAATATGTTCAGATAGGTTAACTTTATACTGATGAAATTGGATAACACAATTTTGTCAACAAAATATGGCAATCACGACCAACTAAATTCAACATTTATGGCTTAAAAATTAAAAGTTTTTAAAATATTTGAACGCATATATCATATTTACGCCTAATCTGGCAACATTGCAGTAATTCTTGTGCGCAGTCGTACATAATACAATATAATATCTTACCAAAAATGTTTGTTCCATTGTCCAGTCGAAACGTGTTGAAAATCGTATTATGAAAAAGAAAATGAATAAAATAAATTTTATTGACAATTATGGAAAAAAGAAACTAAAAAAAAAAAAATTGAAAACTGACAATGTTCGTAAACAGCTTATAAAATACTCAAAATATTATCAAAATTTTATTTTGTATAGAAAATTAAAATATGAGCATTTATTGAAATTGTCATGTAAGTATCTACAGTTATTCGTTTTTCAATTGCAACAAAATAACGAAATCGCTACATGAGAAATCGAATGAATATCCAATCTTGTAAAAACATGAACTTCAAACATGCATATAATAATCCGTATTTTGACACACTTTAAGACCCATGCAATTTTTAATGGTAACTTTTAGGGCTTTAATATTATGTTGTGCCCTGGGTTACATAATTTATAGATCTGGTACTGGGTAAGGTATATTAAAATTGTGGTCAGTGAAAAATGTTTTATTTAATTTTTGGCGCTTGACATCAAAAAGGTTGCCCCTTATCTATGATTATAGGATGACGTGGTATCTACAAATCTTATACCAGACCTCAAACAAATTAAATTTTAATTGGTCATTTGGAATTGCTTACATCTCAATCACTATTATTTCGAGTAGGTACCTATACGGCTGTAAATAATTTCGAAAGGTTAACCATCGTAGATTTTTTTCTGTGATTTTTTCGATGGGAAATTTTTCACCGGGATTTTTTTCCCGAAATACTAATAAAATAATATGTATATTATTAATTATTTAGTTTATCTAACACCAAAATTAAGATATTATGTGCTTGTCAATTTCATGTTCGTCCTTTCTAAGTTTGAATGACTCGATGATTTCATATGCTGTGTCGCTATTGAGTTAAATTATATGCGTAATAGGGAATGCTTATTTAAAAATAAAACATTAGTTCTTTGATATGTCTAATTCATTTATTCTCTTTCAAACCTGCACATAATCGGGGTGAGCCCACTAGACTGCACTCGCCTTGCTTGCTAACAGTATATTGAATGATATAATATTATCATCTGTGTTCGACGAAGTCTCGAAGATGCCCAACGAACAATGATAAATGTCGAACACAGATTAGATTTTTTAAAATTGCCTACAAATTGGTAAATCCTGACTATATTGATAGTCCTAAAACAAATTTTAAAGAAACAAAAATTTTAGAAAAAAAATATGGTACAAAAATAAAATTTAAAACAGGCAGCAAGTAGGTTACGTTTTGCTGTAGGTTCATTAGGTGCTTAGAAAAGTTACTGTTATGGATGTATTAAATTTTAATTCAACTATGTAAGAACATTGAACACGAAAAACATTCTGAGCGAAGACAATGGCCATATATAAGATTTAGTCACCGTGGGAAAAAAAACATTTTGGCTCCGCCGACTTTGCTTACGAGTTACGACTAATTTTTCCTATTTTAGTATTTTTACACAATATATTTTAACTTCACACAAAATCTAAAAAAATTGATTTCATTGAAATATAAACATTGTATATGTACGTAATATAAATCATTTTCATTTTGAACTATACAACATCAGGTAATCTTCAGGGCCAATAATTCAATTCTCATTGTAAAGGAGCGTGGAACATAGTGTTGCGGTAGGTAATAATACTAATTCAAGGCTGGGCAAATTAACGTTTTTTTTAGTGTAAAGTTAAAATTTGTTAATTTATAAAAATAAAAAAATACAGATACTTAGTATGGTTTATTAGATAGTTTTTCTTTACGTTTAAGAAAATTACTGGGGAAATGTAAAATGATACATTAAAGTAAAAACCTTCTTCAAAATTCAGCATTATTCTTCCGACGAAAATTAACTTAAGTACCTAGTTAACACGTTAATCTTGAAAAAAAGTGACTTATTAAGTTAAAAGTTAATTTGTAAAATAAGTAACGAGTATCTAATACTTAATTAAAATTAATTTAAAGTTTTAACTTAATTTTAACTTTTAACTCGTTTTTAACACCTTCCATTACAGTGATGATTTTGTAACCTACTGTACAGCAGAGCGATTCCTAGTTACCTGCCTTTTTTGTATTAAAAATTGTACAATTGATTAGGTAGCTACAATGTATGGAAAATATTAAAATCCACATATTTACAAAAATGGTATAAGTTTGTGCTATTCGCTTTCCAAGTTAACAAAAATAGTTGAGGTATGCAAAACAAATATAAGAATAGTTGAGCAGCTCAATACTCTCTAAGCCCCCCCCCCCCATTAATATTATAGACATCAGTTGAAAATTTTAAATATTTATAAATTGTATTGTATTGTAACTTGTAAGGCTTTAATTTGTCAGCTTATAAAAAAAAATAAAAGATTTTATATATGAACTAATCGCATAAAAGTAGTACTAACATTTATTTCAACCAAAAAAAAAAATAAAATAAAATCCTGGCTATGTGCCTGATAGGTGTGACGTACTGACGCCCTCTATATTACACATAATATAAGAAAACAATGCTTTTGACTTTTTTTGAAGAAACTGTCCTTTTATCTTGATATGGTAGAAAAAATATAATAGTTGTAAAATAATTTTACAATTTACATTTAGTAAAAATAGTAGCATATAAATGAAAAAAAAAGTTAGTCAGTCGGCTTTGATCCTATTTCAATTGAATTATATATTGATTTATTTTTAATTAGTACTAAATTATTTTTTTAATAACTATAAAATATGTTTAATTCTTAACTGTCAATCAAATGTGTGCGGTTTTGAACTATCGACCTTTCAAATTTCCCTTTTTGACAATAGAATAAATGTGTGAGGTATTGAATGGTGTAAAATGTGTGGTTATGACAACCGCCGGTAAATATAAACAAAACTCATACCTATAAGTTATACACGGAATACGGAGACACCGCCTTGAGACTGAAAATCACCGATTTCAATTCAATAATATGCAACGGTGTGGTTGTACGGGGGTGGCCGGTCAGGGTTGCAATACGACTAGTACCTGGGACCCTGGTACATACACCATCCGTTTTCGCAATCTTACTCTCCCCGAAATTTCGTTTCATGGCGGAGATGAATTGGAAAATAGTGCAATTTCTTTATTTTCGCCGAAATAGAGATCGGACAACCAGGGCCTCAGCAGTGGTTGTAGGGTGAGAGTTGATGTAATAATAGTGAAACTCAGCCACTACCCCCCGACGTTGAACAGTGTGGCGATGTACAAAGGCAATGTAAATTTTATGATTTCTTGCAGTGCGTTACACATTTTTAACTGCAAAATAATTATTCAATTTTAAATTTGATAAACCTTGCCAAAATTCGATCATTAAATCCTTATAAAAAAAATGTTGCCTATGTATTTTTAATATTTTTCAACTGCTATTGTACCAATATATTAGGATCCTTGTAAAAAAAAATTTACACTTTTTGGAACAGAAAATAAAACTTTATTAATATTTATAGAATAAAAACATAAACAAATTTAAATATGAAATTGCCCTTAAACAGCTTAAAACAAGTTAAAATATTTTGACAATATTATCAAGTATAAGAATTATCAAATAAACATTCAGTGAAATTTTCATGTATCTACAGTTATTCGTTTTTGAATCATAACAAAATAAGAAAATCGCTACATGAAAAATCAAGTGAGTTTCCAATGTTGTAAAATTTGTACACTGTGAAGAAGACGAAAGTAGTTGTTCTAATACAAGTTATACCGAAGCCAGTGAATGGGTTAATGCAATGGAAAATGCAGTTGTTATGGAAAATAGTATATCTGGGTCGGAACTCGATGACGACATAATGCGTGTAGGATCCGACACTGAAACTGAACTTAGAAATTACAAAAGGTTACCATTAGGAGTACAATCGTTTACAGATTTGAAATTTAATGACTGGATTGTCGGCGATTTTACGAATTCTGAAGAATCCAAACAGTGTTCATCCAAAAACACACTTTTTATTGGTAATATTATGAATGTGAAAGAGGAAAAAGTATATGCAACATTTTTAAAATATTGTCCAACAAAAGTTGATTCAGGCAAAATTTTTATGTATCCTGAACCTGTTGATTTGTGTTGGTTAGAAAAAAAGAATGTTCTGGGAGTTGTAAAGCCGCCAATAGTTCTAAGAAGAGGCCAATTAAAATTTAATGTAGACTTTAATGCATGGTAAATAATTAAGGCTTTTATATATTTATTTTGTTTAATTATTTGTACTATGAAACAATACCTACTGTTTTTTTATAATGAAGGAAGTTTCCTATTAATATATTTATTTTGTTTAATTATTTGTAGTTAAGTACTATGAAAAAAGACTGTTTTCATACTGAAGGAAGTTTCCTATTTATCTATATATTTATTTTGTTTAATTATTTGTAGTTACTATGAAAAAAAGACTGTTTTCATACTGAAGGAAGTTTCCTCTTAATCTATATATTTATTTTGTTAAATTATTTGTAGTTACTATGAAAAAAAGACTGTTTTCATACTAAAGGAAGTTTCCTATTTATCTATATATTTATTTTGTTTAATTTGTTGTTGTTAAAACTTATATTAATTGTAGTTTTAAAGGATAAGACTGCTACAGTGATACAATAAAAAAAGACTGTTTGATTTATTAAAATAAAAGTTTTCTAGGTAAATAATTTTTTTTTTTTATTTAAACCTTATAATATCGAATGTTTAACTATTTTAAAAAATATAATTCTTGTTCCTATTGATAATCAACGTGTAACAATAGGAAAATCTAGGTTTTTTAAACAGTGTTTCTATTCACCCCAACTAACGGGTAGATAGGGTCACTTTTTTAAAAAAAATACAAAAAAACTTTTGAACTTTAACTTTATTTATGGTATATTATATATTTCTATATGTGTGATCTTTCTAAAACAGTTTTCGTGACATCGATATCATAAAAATTCTGCTCGTAATCTATAAAAAAACAGTTAAAATCGTCCATATTCACCCCCAAATTACGGTACGCAGTTGTTACCAACACCAATATAATTGAGTATAATTATCGGATTCGACCATGTGCAGACTATCTTTAATAAGCCGGTTTAATATCAAATGTATATTAATAAAACTACTAATTTCAAAAATAGTAAAATGAATTGAAAACAAACTTGTTGTATCGTACAAGTTTTTCTATCCTGTAGTAATATCTTACAAATTGTTTTTTTTTTCTTAAGAAGTTTTTAACTTACAAAGTAATATATTTTTTTACTATCATAATTTTATACATTATTACACGTATATATATTTAAAATAAAAAAATTATAAATATTTTACTGCACTATATGTATTTTTTAATATTTTTAGTGCATTTAAATCCGAACCCAATTTATGATTAACTAAATATAACCTTTAATGATATATAACAAACTTTTATGAAAATTTAACACTCTTACTGCCATGTCAGTCATATATTATGACTGACTCTTAGTTATCTATTCGGATTCGCGTAGTAGTATTGCTTACCTACTAGCTGTTCCGCCCGACGTTGCCCGGTGCGAAAATAATTAGAGGGCTACATAAAACGCAATTAGCATAACAAATAATTATTTTTATGCATACCTAATATGTAAATGTCCTCACACACTACTGTGGTAGCGGTAAAATGAGTCCGGACACAATTTACCGCCAAGACAAAATAATATTACCGCCACTGTTGCAGTGGCCAGTGGGTGGGAACCTTTACAGGTAGATACAATTAAAAATTACTTAGCATTGTTTTCTTGAATGTGCTGGGCTATAGCCTATAAGCATGGACTTATTGAAATATACGGAACATCAGTGCCACTTCTCTCTCTCTCTCTCTCTCTTATGATAAAACTCATGATATCTCTGTTAATCCGTTTGGCACGACTAAGCCTCTCACCAGTCCTCCGGACAAATGTTCCGTCTGTTTATATAGGCCTTTTTGGTATTGCATTTTGGTATACAGATAAAAAAGAACGCACTCATGGGCACGGCACGAAGGCACACGATCATTAAAATCCGTAAATACACTATTTGGCCTGAAAATACACTTATCATTTTAGATTCTGAGTCGAGCAATGAATGTACCTATTGATTTTATATTATTATATTATATGATATTAAATTTTATATTATAAAAAAAAACATTCTGTTACCTATCGTTACACTATTACAATATTTTATTTTTATTTTATCATTATACTATTATGTCATACCATAATATACAATTAATATTTAACCAAATTAAGTAATTCGTCTGATAAACAAATACATTGATACAAATAAAAAATAATAGCTACATATGAAGCACTACGTCAGCTGAACATTAATATAATATATTAATATATAAATGCTCAGCTGCCATATATATAAATTATCGATTATAAATTATGAAAAATATATGAAAAAAATATATAGACTTATGGTTAAATGTAATGTAATGTGTTGATGTGTAAATATTTTTGGATGTATTATATTTGAATTATTTGGACAAAATATAATTTATAAAAAAATCAAAAGTAAGGCATAAATGTATAAAGAACAGTGTGTATTGGTTACTTTGTACCTACATTATTGCATATAATTTATATCTAATGTATACAGGGTAATTCAACATACATGGTCACTCAAATTTTTTTTCTTTTATAATGAATTTATTCAATTTCTAGTTTTCAGAATTTTTAAATATATTCATAGACCATATTTTAAGTTCTTGAATTATTTTGTACTACCTACTTAAAGAGTGTCCTGTTGTGATACAAACTTCTGTTTTTCAAATGTGAACAAAAATACTGTAGAAAAATTATTCACTGTATACCTATTTAATTTATATTTGAAAAAGGGTGTTCTGATTTGAAACACGAAAATTGGTATCTCCGCGGGACACTCCTTAAGTAGTATAAAAAATATCATGAATTTTAAAATATGGCCTTAAAGTACCTACCTACTTATATTTAAAAATTCCAAAAATAAGATTTTGAATGACTGCATTATTGAAGAAAAAAGAGGTGAGCATACTTGGCGAATTACCCCGTATATTATATATATTAACAAATAAACGTAGGCATTTTACATTTTTAACATTAGACATAAGATATTATGCTTATCAAAACATTTGATATAATTAGTTGTAAAATAGAATAGTCGTAATCGGGTAACAATTTGTTCAAATCCCGGTGCGTATGTTTTATGCGGTTGTCGTAACGTCGTCGTCAGAAACGTTTTAATCATTAAAAATATTGTAAACATTTAATGTTTATCTAATAAAATACCAATAGCTAGTCTGACCTTGAGTGGCCGGGGTCATACGACGGAGCTAGACAGCACTCCAGTATAATATTGTAATCTATGAACCTATTATGGATGTGTTTAAAATGTTTTTTACTTTTTAGTTATAATATTTTATTGATTATTTGTATCTGGATTATATTCACGTATTATATGGGTACACATTTATAACATAACGATTTGTTTGCGGACAATGTATCTACTGCAACTAAAATAATACGGTAATATTGGTAATAACCCCGTATAATTGTTACCTTTAACATGGGTGATTTTTTTTCATTTAAACGGTAGAACCAATCAAACAAGTATCTAGCTGACAATATAAATGTCAAACACAAGGCAACTTGTATAATATTTTAACCACACACGACACACACACATAATGTATATTAGCCAATGCCAGGAGTAGGTACACTGAAGAGCGATATAAACTATACAATTTAGTAATCTACACAAGGCTGAGCAAGCTAATGTTTTATTTTTACTCAGGTTAGTTAAGTTAATACGCAACAATAACAAAAAGTTAAAAGTTAATTTAACTATAGGTTAACTCAGATAAGTTAAATAACAATACACACTTTTTGTTAACATTTTATTAAGTTAATAAAATTTAATTTGTTTATACAACGTTAGCGTACTTAATGTTTTTCCAACCTAAAACTAAATTATAAACTATTGTAGTGTTTATACTTTATACAGTATTTCGATATAAGTTAGATTCGAATGATATAAATGTTTAACTTTAAACAATTCACAGTAAATATTTGTTAAGGGGATTCGATACCGTGGTTTTCTGTTTTTGTCTAACACATGAGCGATATAGTATTTTAGACGTATTTTTTTCCAAACATAAAAATTGATCTAATGAAGCTATATGAAATCTGAAAACAGATTTGAATTTGTCGTAAGTCTACTTGTAATCGAATATCCCACATTTTTGATATTATCCCCCAAATTTTTAAAAATGTCATATTCAAAAAGAGTATTTAAAAATACTGGTATTTCCATTTTTGGAGAAGTTAAGGTCAAAAAATCAAAAATATGGGAGAATCGATTTCAAGTAGACTTGACGACAAATTTAAATCTGTTTTCAGAAATCTTATTGCTTTAATAGATCAATTGGAATGTTTGGCAAAAAACACGTCTAAAATACTATGTCGCGTGTGTGTTAGACAAAAACAGAAAATCACGGTATCGAATCCCCTTAACATGAAAACGAAATAGACTGTAATAGTGAAATGTAATAAAATTAAAAACAACATAAATTAACTTAACTCACTTCTTAAGGGTCCCGGTGCCAGTTTTTAAAATTTTCCACAATTCTATAAAATTTGAAAATGACATTTTATATTTTAGTTGCCACCTCAATTATAAGACTTTTCCACAACCCGATACCTATTTGGGGGGCTATCGACGTGTATTATATCGAAAAAAAAATATCTTTATGGGAATAACTCTCAAGCTTTGTACAATTGTCTGATTTTTTATATCTATTTTTTCTCTGAAAGAAGAAGACTTCCTACAGTCAGATTTTGTATTTTATTTCAAATAATTGTATTATAAAATTTGTAAAAAAAAATGCTTTTTATCTTGTATTTTTTAGACTTATCATAAAGTTTCAGAATAAAAAATTAAAAAACAGAGATCGATGCGGGCTGTAGAATATTTCCCTCTAACAATTAAAAAAAAAATTATGACATTTTATTGATTCGACAAGTCGGTATCGTTATTCCCGCAGAGTGTATTTTTGAGGACAAAATGGCATCGGCACCGGAAATGAATTCATTATCTTCATGTTAATTTAAAAGAAATGTATTGAGTTGACAATTAAGTTATTGAAAAGCCAAGAGTAACTAGTTAAGTTAAAAAGTTAAAATAAAATAAACTTTTTAACCTAACTAAATT